AACCTTCGTGTCATCGGCAAACTTACTAACCCACCCTGAACCCGAGACACTAAACGTGTAGTGTCTCTCACCCGCTCTCCTCCTCTAACGAAAAAAAAGGACTCTGTGGTGTGTTGGTAAAGTAAGGTTTTTATACTTTTTCTATTTCTTCTGTATTGTGTAATTGGTTAAAAATTTACTTTCTTTGTTTTTATTTATATATTAATTGGTTATTTGAAAGGACCATAGCAGAGAAGTATTAGAAAGTATTTAACTCATAAATTGAGATAAAGTAATAAAGTAATTAACTAAGTAGAGATGGCTGGGCAGGTGATGTGCTGTAGCTGTATGATGTGGGAGCTGGCTGATCCCATTGTGAACGGCAGTGACCACATCTGCAGCAAGTGTTGGTTGCTGGAAGAACTCCGGCTCAGAGTTGAAGATCTGGAATCTGAGCTTCAAACACTGCGGCACATCCAGGAGGGGGAGAGTTACCTGGACGCTTTGTTTCAGGAGGCAGTCACACCTGGTAGATTAAGTAATTCAATTTCAGTTAGTGATCAGGGACAACAGGGTGTGACTGCAAGTGAGGCAGGTAGGGGAATCCTGAGTTCAGGAGTGGAGGAGCCTCAGCTTTTGACCTTATCCAACAGGTACGAGATACTTGCTCCCTGTGTGGCTGAGGAAAAGGGCTGCGGGGAGGATGAGCCAGCTCACCGCGGCACCATGGTGCAGAAGGCCATTCAAGAGGGGGGAGCAAATAGACAAGTGGTAATTATAGGGGATTCTATCGTTAGGGGGATAGATAGTACCCTTTGCAAGCCGGATCGGGAGTCCCGCATGGTGTGTTGCCTGCCCGGTGCCAGGGTGCAGGACATCTCTGACCGGCTTGAAAGGATATTGGAGCGGGAGGGGGAGGATCCAGTTGTTGTGGTCCATGTTGGGACTAACAACATAGGCAAGGCTAGGATGGAGGACCTGTTTGGGGATTATCAAGCACTAGGAACGAAATTAAGGAACAGGTCCTCGAGGGTCATAATCTCCGGATTACTGCCCGAGCCACGTGCAAATTGGCTTAGGGATAAGAAAATTAGGGAAGTAAACACGTGGCTAAGGGAGTGGTGTGGGAAAGAGGGGTTCCATTTCATGGGGCATTGGCATCAGTTTTGGAACTGGAGGGATCTGTACCGATTGGACGGTCTCCACCTGAACCGATCTGGAACCAGTGTTCTTGCGAAAAGGATAAATAGGGTGGTCACTAGGACTTTAAACTAGTGAGTTGGGGGGAAGGGAAAGGGAAAACGACAGGGAGTATGATGGTAAATAAAAAGGTAAGCAGCAGGTTAGCATGTGTGCAGGAGGGTTTAAGTTCAAGGCAGACTATGAAAGAAGCAAAAAGGAAGGACAACTCAGGAGATATTATTAGAGATGTTGGAGATCATGAGGGTAAGAAAGCTAGCATAAAGGCACTTTACCTGAATGCTCGTAGCATTCGTAACAAGGTTGATGAGTTAACGGCACAAATCATCGCGAATGAATATGATTTGGTAGCCATTACGGAGACATGGTTACAGGATGGTCACGACTGGGAGTTAAATATCCAAGGGTACCAGACTATTCGGAAGGACAGACAGGAAGGTAAGGGAGGTGGTGTAGCCCTGATTCTCAAGGACGCCATCAGGGCGGTGCTGAGAGATGATATAGGTTCTATGGAGAATGAGGTTGAATCCATTTGGGTGGAAATTAGAAATTCTAAGAGGAAAAAGTCACTGATAGGCGTAGTCTATAGGCCACCAAATAATAACATCACATTGGGGCAGGCAATAAACAAAGAAATAACTAATGCCTGTAAAAATGGTACGGCAATTATCATGGGGGATTTTAACCTACATGTAGATTGGTCGAACCAGCTCGGTCAGGGTAGCCTTGAGGAGGAGTTCGTTGAGTGTATCCGTGATAATTTTCTTGAACAGTATGTAATGGAACCAACGCGGGAGCAAGCTATCCTAGACCTGGTCCTGTGTAATGAGACAGGAATAATTAATGACCTCATAGTTAGGGATCCTCTTGGAAGGAGTGATCACAGTATGGTTGAATTTAGAATACAGATGGAGAGTGTGAAGATAAAATCCAATACAAGGGTCCTGTGCTTGAACAAGGGGAACTACAATAGAATGAGGGAGGACTTGGCTAAAGTAAACTGGAAACAAAGATTTTATGGTGGGACAGTTGACGAGCAGTGGAGGACTTTCAAAGCAATCTTTCAAAGTGCTCAGCAAAAGTATATTCCAATGAAAAGGAAGGACTGTAAGAAAAGGGGTAATCTGCCATGGGTGTCTAAAGAAATAAGGGAGGCTATCAAATTGAAAGAGAAGGCATACAAAGTGGCCAAAAACAGCATGAAACTAGAAGATTGGGAAAACTTTAAAGGTCAACAGAAAGCCACAAAAAGAGCTATAAGGAAAAGTAAGATAGAACATGAGAAAAAACTAGCACAGAATATACAGACAGATAGGAAAAGTTTCTATAAATATATAAAATGAAAAGAGTGGCTAAAGTAAACATTGGCCCTTTAGAGCATGAGAAGGGGAATTTAGTTATGGGATATGATGAAATGGCCGAGGCATTGAACAGGTATTTTGTATCGGTCTTCACAGTGGAGGACACTAATAACATGCCAGTAATAGACAAAGAGACGAAGGTAGGTGAGGACCTGGAAACAATCATAATTACGGAAGAGGTAGTGTTGGGCAAGCTAATGGAGCTAAGGATTGATAAGTCTCCTGGCCCTGATGGAATGCATCCCAGGGTACTAAAAGAGATGGCGGGAGAAATAGCAGGTGCACTGGCGGTAATTTTCCAAAATTCGCTGGACTCTGGGGCAGTCCCAGCAGACTGGAAAACAGCAAATGTGACGCCACTGTTTAAAAAGGGAAGTAGACAAAAGATGGGGAATTATAGACCAGTTAGCTTAACCTCTGCAGTGGGGAAGATGCTTGAGTCTATTATCAAGGAAGAAATAGCAAGGCATCTTGATAGAAATTGTCCCGTTGGGCAGACGCAGCATGGGTTCATGAAGGGCAGGTCATGCTTGACAAATCTTCTGGAATTCTATGAAGACATTACGAGCGAGGTGGACAATGGGGACCCAGTGGATGTGGTGTACCTAGACTTCCAAAAGGCCTTTGACAAGGTGCTGCACAAGAGGCTACTGCATAAGATTAGGATGCATGGCATTAAGGGTAAAGCATTAGCATGGATAGAGGATCGGTTGACTAACAGGAAGCAAAGAGTGGGGATAAGTGAGTGCTATTCTAGCTGGCAGTCAGTGACTAGTGGTGTGCCTCAGGGATCGGTGTTGGGACCACAATTATTTACAATTTATATAGATGACTTGGAGCTGGGGACCACGTGTAGGGTGTCAAAGTTTGCAGATGACACTAAGATGAGTGGCAAAGCAAAGTGTGCAGAGGACTGTGAAACTTTGCAGAGGAACATAGATACATTGAGTGAGTGGGCAAAGGTCTGGCAGATGGAATACAATGTAAATAAATGTGAAGTCATACATTTTGGTAGGAGTAATAGTAAAAAGGATTATTACTTGAATGGTAAAAAGTTGCAGCATGCTGCTATGCAGAGGGACCTGGGTGTCCTTGTGCATGAATCACAGAAGGTAGGTCTGCAGGTACAACAAGTAATTAGGAAGGCAAATGGAATTTTGTCCTTCATTGCTAAAGGGATTGAAATAAAAAGCAGAGAGGTTATGTTGCAGCTGTATAAGGTGCTGGTGAGGCCACACCTGGAGTACTGTGTGCAGTTTTGGTCTCCTTACTTGAGAAAGGATGTACTGGCACTGGAGGGGGTGCAAAGGAGGTTCACTAGGTTGATTCCGGAGTTGAGGGGGTTGGCTTATGAGGAGAGACTGAGTAGATTGGGATTATATTCATTGGAATTCAGAAGATTGAGGGGGGATCTTATAGAAACATATAAAATTGTGAAGGGAATAGATAAGATAGAAGTAGAGAGGATGTTTCCACTGGCAGGTGAAGCTAGGACAAGAGGACATAGCCTCAAGATTAGAGGGAGCAGATTTAGGACTGAACTGAGAAGGAATTTCTTCACCCAGAGGGTTGTTAATCTATGGAATTCCTTGCCCAGTGAAGTAGTTGATGCTACTTCAGTAAGTGCTTTTAAAAAAAAGGTAGTTTTTTTTTTAACAATAAAGGAATTAAGGGATACGGTGAGAACGCGGGTAAGTGGATCTGAGTCCACAAAAGGATCAGCCATGATCTTATTGAATGGCGGAGCAGGCTCGAAGGGCCAGACGGCCTACTCCTGCTCCTAGTTCTTATGTTCTTATGTTCCACTTCCTCATCCAAGTCATTTATAAAGATCACAAAGAGCAGAGGTCCCAGAACAGCTCCCTGCGGCACACCCACTGGTCACCGAGCTCCAGGCTGAATACTTTCCATCTACTACCACCCTCTGTCTTCTATTAGACAGCCAGATTAGGAAAGATGGGAGGCTTAAGGAGAGCGTAAACAACATTGTGGACTGGTTGGGTCAAATGGCTTCTTTTTATGCAGTATATCCATTGTGCAACACATTGAAGCCCAGACATTATGCTTTGCAGTATAGTACAGTCATTCAAATGGTTAATATGCCTGCACAAAATTTTTCAGCCTACTCTTTTAATCCACTTTGGGTTAAAAAGTAGTAGACCAAGTGGTCATACAATAATAATATAAATGGCAGAGTTAAACATTTGTGAACTGTATTATAGCCTATCAGCTAAGAAAATCAGACATATATACCTCTACAATGAGTACACAATATTCTTAATTTAAGATATACACAAATCTACAGTTTAAAGGCTGGAACTGCATTTTCTTTGAAGCCTGATGGCTGTAAAAATGGATTACAATTTTAAAGCAAATGGAATGCTATGAATGCCTGTTTTGTTTTTATAACTCTCATTGACAATGGTTTTGTTGACAAAGTTGTGATGGTTATGTTCACAGCTACATTGGGAGCACTGGAGTTCAGTCTAATATATGACCAGGTCAACAATGCTTTGCACTGCACCATCATAAAAGCAAAGGTGAGCGATCAAATTTACTTATTTTCAATTAGGACTTCATCATCAAATTCAAACTATGGATACTGCATGACCGAAGGTATCAAAACAATTTCCAGTCAATTGTGAATTTTTTTTTATCCCAAAGATTTGAAAAGTAATCATTTAATAGGTGGCTCAAAATGTTCTTAATTCAAGGAAATGTTCCTGAGTTCCTGCTTTGTGACATACACATGCAGCCCAGGAAGTGTGTACGGCAAGATTTTAGAATAGGAGTTTCGGAGCCACTTGATAATGGTCAGTTATAGCATTGCTTCTAGAGAAATTGGGGATATAGAAATTCAGAGATTTGTGATAGCATCCGTTTTGGATCAACAGGAGGAAAACAGTTACTTCTACCTGTGAAAATCATGCATAGAACATGATTGTCTGACCTCAGTCCAGTTGGCAACATTTAATTGGCATTAAGCTGGTAAACTTATCAAGTGAAGTAGGGATACTGTTGGGGGTGGTGACCTCATGTTGTTTACATATAGTCATACTGTGAGATTCAGTTACAGATAGATAACCCAAGTGCTGATGTGGCATTTTTGCCCTTCGTACATTACAGGGACTGAAACCAATGGACTCCAATGGCTTGGCTGATCCGTATGTGAAAATACATCTCCTGCCTGGAGCCAGCAAGGTATGATGTTCCCGTCAGATTATAAACAGTATATTCAAGAGATTTACAACTCGTGAAACTGTTCTATGGCCCCTGTGATGTACAAGATGGTTTCAGTGCCACAATGGTTTATACGCATCACAGTGAGGTTGCGTTCTGAGGCTCTGTTACTTATAATCTACAGGTGACAGGTAACAGTTAAAATGTCACATCTGTGCAGTAGATTACATTGATATCAAGAATTAATATGGCACATATTTCCTGGCCAACCATTTTAACAATTATCAGATACAGTTATCAGAAACACATTGGCGTAGACACTTGTGCAGTGCTGTAAATACTCAACATTGGGTGGTACTGAATTGGTAGACCTATTCAGACGGTCGCACAAGTCATAATCTATTCTACTATTTCCCCTTATTCTCCAAATACCTCAGAAGAAAGTATCAGCCAGCCTATGTGGGCAGAAGACCTAAAGTGAAAGGAAAAGCATTTCCAGGCAAGAAAGATGGGAAATGATGGAAGAGAAGTCAACAGTTGGGTGCTTTGAAGCATTTCACACCAACTGGATTCACAAAGAAACAAGAGCTGCTGGCTGATTCTCCTGTCTGTTGAGAACAAAGCCATAATCAGAACAATACAAATATATAGAACATTTTTAATGTGCACTATTAACCAGGTACTGTTTCCCAATTTAGTGGCAACTAGATGTACTACTCATAGGATGCTGAGCATACTGTTTGAAAAGATTCAGATTTGACACTTGTTTGTTAACCTTACCTGAGTAGTAGTGTGATGGTACACTAGATTTAAAGACTTTATGCCAGGAAGGTTATATTCTATCATGAACAATTGACCTCAGGGAAGATGAGTAGGGAATCAGAGAAGAAAAGAAAATAGCCTGATAAAAATGTCAGAATTATTGATGGTTTTTGTGACATTCAAAGTGACAGCCTGAGCAATTGAATGAGTTGACATCAAACATGTTCATATTCTTTCCAAACATACAGTCAAACAAGCTACGCACAAAAACACTACGCAACACCCGAAACCCTGTGTGGAATGAACGGCTAACATACCACGGAATCACTGAGGATGATATGCAGAGAAAAACTCTCAGGTGAGAAATATAGACAGACAGCTGAGAAAAGCAGCCTCTCTAGCAATCTCAAGGTAATCAAAAATCCCTTCAATAATCTTCAACCAACTCAGAAAACCTCATCAAATCTCCACCCAACTGAAATGCTTCTAATAATCTTGAAGTAAATCATGTTTTCAGGTTTGAATTAAAGTGTTAGATATCTCAAATGGTCTATGACTACTTCTTTTTGCTAATTCATCTTGATGTCGCTGGCCTTTTCTACCCTTAGTTTTTATACAATGGATATAGTGAGTGGCTTTCTGATATTATTCGGGAATATTCATGATTGTTTTTGTTACTTCCAGTTTTCTGATGTCGTAAAGTAATACTTCTGGCTGTTTTGGGTCATTCCTCTACAGACAATAGTGGAAGTTAAGAACAGGCATAAGAGACTTGGCATCTTGCTGAATGAATGCATTATGTATCAGTCACAGGAACATTGGGCATAGAAGCAGAGTAGGCCACTGGCATTTTGAGCATGTTCTGCTATTCAATAAGATCATGGACTGAAATTTTATATCGTTTATACCTCCATAACTCTATGTTCATTCTGCCCAATCATATTATGGTTTTCCAAGTGTCCTTTTGTAGTGATTATAATGAAATCAGCCAGGTAGACCTTATAGAATATATAAGTTTCCTGATTGGGCCTTTTAACCTGGTTCAATCAGGGAGCTCTGGCTGACAGATATAAACAGGAGTATCAGAGGTTCTGTCCACTCTGAGAGATCAGTGTCGAGAACTATACACGTGTAAATAAAGGGTGAATTGGTGACAGGATACCAGTCTCTGTGGAGTTATTTCAGTGGCAACGAGAGTGAGATTAACGACTTGACCACACAAAAGTGCATACTAACTGAAGCCCAAATGGACTGCAAACAGGCATTACAACTGGCTTTGTCATTGGAAACTTATGTGAGTTACAGGGTATGCCAATGGAAGTGGACACCCTCGCCAAGCCAACTGACCTTGAGGGACACCACTTGAGTGAAGGCAGATGCACTCAGGACATATCCTGAACAGTGGGACCCTAGGGCAGCCCACAGCAAAACCCTAAAACAAAGCCAAGCCTCAGCCGAATGGTTAAAATTTTCTTAAGGATCTGGATCAGCAAGTCATTGTAGTTGCTGCCGGTATGTGGACTCGAGACAGCAAAGGAGTCTCACTAAACCTAATTTGAGTAAGAGAACTCATAGGACAGTATCCAGGAGAGTGCATGCCCTGGAAAGCCCACCTATAACTGGTTTGGAACATTTAAATTGCTTAGCAACAGCCAAATCAGAACCAATCAAAGTAAACATCTGATTAAATGATCCCTCGGTTCATTAGAGGTTGATACCAGCACAGCGCTCTCAGTGATTGGCAGAACCAGTTTATAACAAACTTTGCTCTGGACTCCAACCCTTGACTGAGAACCTACATTGGGGAACCTTTACAGATTGAGGGTATAACTTCAACTCCAGTCTCATGAGAAGCAGCTGGTTCAGTTACCATGCATTGTAGCAAAAGGCCTGATAGAGCAAAATTGGTTGTGAAGGATTTATCTAGATTGGCTCAATATGTTTCGATTACAAAATGGCAGCTGGAGTGAAGTCCTAATTAAATACCCGGAAGTTTTTCAGGAAGGTCTATGGACTATCAAAAGATCCAAGGCCACTTTGCGCTTTGACCGGGAAGCAATTCCATGATTCTGCAAGACCCATCCAGTGCCATTTGCCTTACGGGCAAAAGCAGAGACAGGAATCACTGGAGAGCAAAAGCATCATCAAACCAATACAGTTTGCAGAAAGGGCAGCATCGGTCGTACCGATTGTGAAGCCTGACGGGTCAGTACACCTTTGTGGGGATTTTAAATAAACGGTAAACAGCTTCATAACTCCCAATCTCTCGCATTGAGGATTTACACACAAAGCTGATGGGGGCGCTGTCCATCACGAAGCTGGACATGAGCCATGCTTGCCTGCAATTGTAGTTAGATCAGGATTCCCAGATGTATGCTACAATTAATACCCATAAGGGTTTGTACCAGTATCCAAGACTGCCATTTGGGTAATGTCAACCTGTGCCATTTTTCAGTGGACGATGGACAGCATTTTACAAGGTCTACCCCAGGTGGCCTTTTATCTGTATGACGTGCTATTAACAGGGAAGACCAATAAAGAGCACTTAGAGAACTTGGACATAGTTCTTAGATGTTTCTCCAAGGCAGGTGTATGCCTTAGTTCAGGAAAATGTGTGTACCAGGCACCCCAAGTGACCTGCTTGGGCCACAGAGTTGACAAGACCGGGTTACACCCGTTGGAAAATAAAGTGACAGCGATCAAAGCTGTCCCAGCTCCCATGTCCTACGTCTTTCTTTGGATTGGTGAATTATTACGGAAAGTTCAGACATAACCTGCCCTCCATCCTGGCACCCTTACATCTGCTATTGAAAAAGGGTTAGTTTTGGAAATGGTCTTGTAGCCAAGACAGAGCCTTTAGGTGTTGGCACACTACGCTCCCAAGCGATATGTAGTGCTGATATGTGATACCACCCCTCACGGAATTGGGATAGTGCTGGCTCACAGATGGCCTAATGGAAAAGAATGCCCAATAATATATGACAACAAGGTGCAGAGCTGGATGAACACAGCAGGCCAAGCAGCATCATAGGAGCAGGAAGGCTGACGTTTCGGGCCTAGACCCTTCATCAGAAATGGGGGAGGGGAAGGGGGTTCTGAAATAAATAGGGAGAGAGGGGGAGGCGGATAGAAGATGGATAGAGGAGAAGATAGGTGGAGAGGAAACAGATAGGTCAAAGAGGCGGGGATGGAGCCAGTAAAGGTGAGTGTAGGTGGGGAGGTAGGGAGGAGATAGGTCAGTCCAGGGAGGACGGACAGGTCAAGGGGGCGGGATGAGGTTAGTAGGTAGGAGATGGGGGTGGGGCTTGAGGTGGGAGGAGGGGATAGGTGGGAGGAAGGACAGGTTAGAGAGGCGGGGACGAGCTGGGCTGGTTTTGGGACGCGGTAGGGGGAGGGAAGATTTTGAAGCTTGTGAAATCCACATTGATACCATTGGGCTGCAGGGTTCCCAAGATGGATATGAGTTGCTGTTCCTGCAACCTTCGGGTGGCATCGTTGTGGCACTGCAGGAGGCCCAGGATGGACATGTCGTCTGAGGAGTGGAAGGGGGAGTTGAAATGGTTCGCGACTGGGAGGTGCAGTTGTTTATTGCGAACCGAGCATAGGTGTTCTGCAAAGCAGTCCCCAAGCCCCCGTTTGGTTTCCCCGATGTAGAGGAGGCCACAACGGGTAGAGCAGATGCAGTATACCACATTAGCAAATGTGCAGGTGAACATCTGCTTGATGTGGAAAGTCTTCTTGGTGCCTGGGATGGGGGTGAGAGGGGAGGTATGGGGGCAGGTGTAGCACTTCCT